GCTCATGAGCTTTTCTACGGGTTTTCAAGCAAAAACTGGAATGGTGGCAGTATGTAGAATATGTCAACTAGGTAGGGGAACTTGTCTTTCTGCTGACTATCATGTATTATTGATAAAACAGATTAATAGTGTAAAGCAGTGAGTACTAGTCTCCATAAACTATTATACTATTGACTTACCCAAAATTTTGGCAAAGAGTTTACTTTGTTTCTGGATGAATTTTAGCACAGAAATACTATCCTACATTTCCAATTTATCATATTCCAGTAATACTTGTAACTGATTATTATACAAATGAAAATCGATAAATTAATCCACAAATTGATTGAATTGATTGTGTCTTTTTTTTTGTCTTTGAGAATTAAAGATCTTTTATAACTAGACACAACAATCAGAACTTAGTTATGTTTTTCACTAAAATGTACCACTGAGGTTTATTTTCCGGAGGTTGCAGAATGGCGTCGAAATGCTTTGCGATAACGTTAAAGAAACTTGAAGGAATGCGATATTAACCGGAAGCAGTTGATATAAACCGGAAGTAGTTGATATATACCGGAAGCAGTTGATAACAAAAGTCATATCACACGGCTAAGACTATTCTTCAAATTTAATGAATAAATATATGTACAAATTAGTTTTATCAAAGGGTACAATTATACCATTATTTTCTATAAGTATATGATAAATATCATTATCGAAAGAAGAAAAGTAAAAAAAAAAACAACAACATTTGCCCCCTATCGGATAATCAAATAACAGATCTTAAAATATCTTATTGAAATAAGAAAACAAAATTTATGGACATAAGCAAAACATGCCATGAACTAATTGATACGGTTTTTGTCTTTGTTTTGTTTTTTTATTTTACTGTAGTTCTTTGTCTTCTAAAATTGATGAAAGATTAACAATAATGATGTTAAATGATCAAACATTTGCAAGAATATCTTTAGATATACAAATCAGAAGATGTATGATTGCCAACGAGAACACATTCCACCAGAGACCATATGACGTTGAAGTTAACAACTATTATATTAATAGGTCACCTTACGGCTTTCAACAATGAGCAAAACCCATATCGCATGGTAACTATAATAGGCCCCAACATTATAATGTAAAACAAATCAAACGAGAAAATCATCCGCCTGATTTATGTACAAAACAATAAACGAAAAACAAATATGATATACAGCAACAAACGACAACCACTGAATTACATACAGAATGTGGCGGGGTACATGTTTGATGGTTAAGGGTTGACATAAGATATTTTAGTGGGCATTTAAGCAGTGTTTGTGAAACAATGCCTTATACTTTATTCTTGAAACATTAAAATTTGTATCTGAGATATGAATTGGAATAGAGAATTGAAACCGGGAATTTGTCAAAGAGACAACAACTCCACCAAAGACCAGAAAACAGCCCAAGGCCACCAATGGGTCTTCAACTCAACGAGAAAATCCCGCACGCGGAGGTAACTGATTAGGGGCGGGATTCAGCTAGCCCCTAAATAATAATGTATACTAGTTTAGCTAAATGGACGCCACACTGAACTACGAAACATACAAATGAACCAAAATTAAAAAAAAAAAACAACACAAGACTAACAAAGGCTAGAGGTTCCTAACCTGGGACAGGCGCAAATATACGACGGAGTTAAACATGTTTTATGAGATCTCAATCATCCCCCCTCCCCGTTTCCCCTTTATAATCTAGCCAATGTGAATTAACAAACACACAGCAATACTCACAAAAAAATCAGTTTAAAAGATGTGGACCTACATTTTCAAGTGCAAACATAAGCAATTCACTAAGGTATGGTCCTTGAGGTTATATCAGCCCTTGAATTTTCAAATATTTTGAGCCTCAGTGAAGAGACAATAAGTGTAGAAATGCGCAACTTGTGCAGTAAAATAGGTAACGTTTTTGTTATTTTGATATCATTACTGGCGTGTTAGGTTAGGGGGGGGGGGATTGCATAACGCAATGGTGTGTCGAAGTCCTATTTAGTAACCTTGTGTGGTTTCACTATCTTCTAGTTGATAAGTATTATCAACATCACAACTGCTTATAACGTTCACTTTATCTTGATACACCCATATATCTGAGTAACATCGTTAAATAAAAGGGTAAGTTAATTTGAAATTTTTATAAAACTTTTAAAAAGAAAAGTTAGAAAAAATAATAAAAATATTCTAAAAGCACTCCACATTTTAAGCGTTTTCTTTACATACCTGCATAATAAGCGAAGTACTGCAGGATTTTTCATTTTGAGCTCCTTTTATATGGAAAATTTTGTGTATTCATTTTATGTTTTTGTTATCTATTGTAAACGTTACATTTTAGTTAAGTGCTTTCCCTGTACTGGTTTTTATTGTTTGTATGTAGAATTGTGTATCTACTTATTGAGATAAGAAGGAGAAGGTCCAGTATCTCAAATAAACTCACTTAACCCCGAATCATTTGTCTCTGCCTGTCCAAAGAAGTTGTGGTATGTCATAATAATATCTTTATGTTTTTCGTTATCTGGAAAATTTGATGTTAATGCCAGATCTGTGATTGTTCCTGTATAAAATGAAAAGATGTGGTATTAATGCCATCGAGACAATTATCCACCAGAGACAAAATGCCAGAGATCTTAGCAACTTAGGTCATCGTACGACATTCACGATGAACAAAACACATACCGTATAGTCTACTATAAAAGGCCCCGACATGACAACATGTAAAACAATTCAAACAAGAAAACTATTGGCCTGAATTATGTACAAAACAACAAACGAAACACAAATATGATAGAGCGACGAACGACTACCACTGAATTACAGACTCCTGTAAATACTGTATGTTTTTCTCTATGTCTTTTGGTCAATTTTGTCGTGGAGTTGTTGTCTCAGTGACGTATACTCCGTATCTCATTTAGCTCATACATGCTGGGTCATTACGCAATATACCAATTTCAGTGCACTTGACATGGGAATAACCTACATTCTGTATGTGCCTGTCCAAAGTCAAGAGCCTGTAATTCAGTGGTTGTCGTTTGTTGCAGTGCAATACCCCCATCACAGTAGGACCACGATCCCGCTTCGACCTCAGAAAGTATGAAAAATTTTGGAAGTCGTAGTAAGATCGTGGTGGTCGTAGTAATGACGTACCAAGTCTACATGGTCGTGGAGTTCCACGACCAACTTTGAACATGCAGTGTAGTCGTGGCCAAAACTAGCCATAGTAGAAGCGAAGGAAGGTCGTAGTAAGGACGTAGTAAGATCGGTATGGGCGTAGAAGCATCGTATTGGAAACGAGGTGCAATCGTGGAAAACAGTGGAAAATATTTCGCTGCGACCTTACTACGATTTCACTGCGACTATCCCGATTTCACTTCGTCTTTATTGCGCTTCTACTACGATATTGATACGATAATACTACGATGAGGAAGACAATAATACGCTGCTACTACGCGCTTGTCGTCCTCAGTACGACCTCACTACGATACTACTACGTTCTAGCCACGATAGTTGCACGATCTCATTCTGTTGATACCTCTACGTTTAGCACCACGACCTCTACGTGTTTTTGATACCTTTGGCGACATGTTTTCTCAAGGAAACTGGTGTGTACAATGGGAAAGTCAAGATATTTATAGGGACAAAGAGCGCAGTGACAACGTAGTGGAAATTAAACCTAGTGGAGTCGTGGTTCGATCGTAGTAGACCCGTACTGAGATCGTAATGCGATTTGGAAGGTCTTGAAAGAAGCGTACAGATATCGTGTAAGTCGTGGTAAGGTCTTATTAGACGTAGCAAGAGCGTGACAAGATCGTAACTAGAACGTGTTACTGTCGTAGCGGAATCATAGCAGGATCTTATCATGATCATAGCAAGGTCATGGTATGAACGTGAAAACTATGAAATATGGAATATTCAAGCCGACCATACCAAGATCTCACCTCGATCTTATCTTTTTATAGATCGTAGTGGGATCTTCGTGGTCTTGGTCTAGTGTGATGGCGGCTTAACATATTTGTTTTTCGTTCATTATTTTGTACATAAATTAGGCCGTTAGTTTTCCCCTTTGAATTGTTTTACATTTGTCATTTCGGGGCCTATTATAGCTGACTATGCGGTATGGGCTTTGCTCATTGTTGAAGAACGTACGGTGACATATAGTTGTTAATTTCTGTGCCATTTGGTCTCTTGTGGAGAATTGTCTCACTGGCAATCATACCACATCTTCTTATTTCTATATTCAACATGTTTGTTAGGCACTTCAATTCTTGGAAATCAAATTATACAAATGTTTTTGAACATTAAATAACAAAGGCATAAATAGAGCAACAGCAAATTGTCGAGTCAATTTTGTTTAAGTACGTTGTAACTTCAGTTATATTTATATCATATAATTTATAAATAGACAAAATCATATTTGATGAAAAAGTGCCACTTAAATAATGTCAGTACCAAAGCACTAGCCACTCGGTGGGTTGTACCTGCGACATTCCGCCAGCAGCGGTACCGACACAGTGGTAGCATTACTATGAGCATCAACTACGATGCAGGCCAAACATGGTTTTGGATAAAGGAAAAAGTTTCAAAATGGTTGAAACATAAGTCAACTTTGACTGTCGGAGTTGTATATCAAATTAAAGTAAAATGTTTATTCATTGTAGCTAATAGACTGATAATTTTCTACTGTAATTTTAATTTAAATCATACTTATACCAAAGAAGTTTATGGATGGTTACCGCGTGACTTGGCAGCGGAGTGTTACATTAAGAAATATGAAGGTTATTCCTGTCTCGTGTGCTCATTTTTGGAGATCTCTAAAAACAATATTCCTGGGACCGGTTTTTACTCAATTTTCTAATAAGAACACAATGCATTTACGAAAATATGTATCTTGGATGCTTGTAACAATCCTAAACGTTATTTTTATTTAACGATTTACCTCCCTTTATCGTGTCCTGTAGTAATTAAAAGAACTCATGTATTTGTTTTCAGATGATGCGTCTTTTGTTGATGTTATCGTTAACAGTAGTGACAGTCTTAGGTCAAAGTACGATCACTGTTAATACCAGACTAGGTGTGCTTACAGGTGTAGCATCGTCTGTCAATGATGGAAATACAAGTTATCAACTGAGAATATACAGAAATATACCCTATGCCAAACCTCCAGTTGGCCAGCTTAGATTTAAGGAACCCGTGCCTTACGGGAAGTGGTCCGGAAATCTAGATGCTACACAATTTGGACCATCATGCGTTCAGTTACCATCACCGTCAGTCAACCAATTTCTTCCAAATTTAAATCAATCCGAAGATTGTTTACAGTTAAATATTTATGCACCTGTTAACGCTTCGTCTTCAAGTAAAAAGTCGGTTATGGTCTGGATACATGGTGGAGGTTATTCAAGCGGACAAGCGATGCTTTATGATGCGTCTTATCTCTCTGCGCTTGGTGATGTAGTCGTAGTAACAGTAAATTACCGTTTACATATATTAGGATTTTTTAGCACATCTGACAGTGTCGCACCTGGTAATTATGGTCTTTGGGATCAAAAGCTTGCTATCCAATGGGTTCATGATAATATTGATCAATACGGAGGAGATTCGTGTTCTGTTACTATCTTTGGGGAATCGGCCGGAGGATTCAGTGTGGCTCTACAGGCCATAAATCCAAATAATACAGGACTATTTCAAAGAGTTATTGCACAAAGTGGTGTTAGCAATACGTTGTTGGCTACATCACCAATTCCTCGACTAACGGCTAAAGCACTTGCAAATGATTTGGACTGTTCTGATGCATTGACGAGTGATACTATGTCTTGTCTGCGGAATAAATCTGTCGATGAAATTAGAGGTTCATTACTTACACTTACAAAACAATTTTATTTGACACCTGATATACATATTTACATCGCATTTGCTCCTGTTGTTGATAACAAATTCCTGATTGACACACCACAAAATATAATAAGTGGAAAAGGCCCCGGATTTGAGTTTTACAAGTCATTAGATGTGATAATAGGAAACTGTGAATCAGAAGGTTCCTTACTAGTAAGTGAGATGCGGAGAAGAAATTATACGAATTTGAAAAATGGCATTCCATCAGAACTTTTGTGTAAAAATATAATACCTACACTTGCAGTTGACTACTTTCAGAATAACACTGAAATTATCAAACCTATATGTGATCAGTATAAAGTCAATGGACTACTAAAGCAAAGTATGAGTGCTATAAACTATTATGGAGACATTTTTATGTATAGTCCATCAGTTCAAAATCTTCAGGTCCACGCAGCTCAAAGCAATCACAACCATTTTCAATATATTAGCAGACGTTCTTCTATCTGGTCAGTGTCTAAAAAATATGCTCCATGGTTTGTAGGGTCAGGTCATGCGTCAGAGTTACCGTTCTTGTTTCCATTTAAATCGTTGTCTAATGCTACAGAAGATGACAAAAATTACAGTGTAACTATGATGAAGTATTGGTCTAATTTCGCAAAAACAGGGTACGTATATTGTCTACTTCCTTTGCAATAGTAACAATATTTTATTTACTTTATGATAAAATAAATGTCTACTTAAAACTTATCTGAATGAAGAAAAAAGAAAAGAAAAATCTATTTCCAATGTCCACTGAATTTATTTCACAACAGAGCCTTTTCTGAAAGCCCTTCAATCTTTACTTAAAATTCTCAGTATATTAAATTGTGTTCATACATGTATGTGTAATTCAAGGTAAATGCATGAACAGCACCTTGGTTTAATTCCGAACTCACAACAAAGATACTTAAATATGGTTCAAACTTTAAATTTGGCAAATTTTTAGTAATTATTAAAAAAAATTGTATAAGAACAGACATTCTTAACCAAAACCTAGACACTTTAATAATGACTGACTAAGTTTGCTGGGCCAAGTAGTTTTATAGAAGATGTTTAATAAAAGATAACGGACAGCGACAACGGATGACGGACGCAAAGTGATGAGAATAGCTCATTTGGTCCTGTATGCCAGGTGAGCTAATAAGGTGGTGTGGTGTGATTGCCAATGAGACAACTTTTAGGATCAGATCAAAATGGCATGAATTAAGGAACTTTTGATATTCACTGCAAACAACGACACAATCGTGACAATGTTATCTGCTTCGATAGCTCTTCGAAATACAAAACACATTTTTGAGAGACATAAATTTGATTTTCAGTTTTGATCGTTTGTAGAACTATTCTGTATGATATTATTTTGTATGTAGATCAGCAATATGCATACAATTTTGAATTGATACTGTAAATTCAGAAATTATTGCGTGCATTTAGAATTGCGTTTTTTTTTTAAATAGACAAAAATGCGAGATTAATTATAGAGATTACAGGAAAATCTGCATACAGATATATATATCAGATATCAGAATGCGAGTTCTTATTATTGTGATTCCCACCCAGGCGCATTATTCGCAATAATAAAAACCTCGCAATTATTACTGAATTTACAGTATTCCCATGATGTATAAGTTGTCTAATCTTGCATCAGATTTTGCAGATAGATAAGTGGACCTGCTGATAACTTTTTGACCTTATTTGCAAATAAATTAAAGAGGCTGAAAGTTTTTCAGGAACTTTTCATGAAAATTCATAATCTTCACGGTTTTTGACAATGATAATGTCCCTTGTGTTAAACTAATCTATGGTTCTAGGTTAGGGGAAGATGGAGCGCTCACAAGCACGTTTAAACCTATCACATTTTGTATCTGCCTTGCATCAAGTTCGGAGTCTGTAACTTATTTGTTTTTTCCTCGTTTGTTGTTTTATAATCTGTCAAACCGTTGGTTTTTCTCGTTTGAATTATTTAACATTTTGTCATATCTAGGTCTTTTATAGTTTATTATACGGTATGGGTTTAGCTCATCGTTGAAGGCCATATAGTCGTCGATTGTTGCTTGCATACACGTCATTTGTTTCTGGAAAATAGTTGTCTTATTGGCAATCATACCACATCTCCTTATTTTGAATAGATTTTATCTAAACCTCATATACATACATACATACATTTTTAAGATTCCGGACCAAGGAGGGTTGTTTAAAAATAGAAATCTATAAAAATTATAATTATGGTATACTTCATTAAAATAAATAAAACATCTGGGCCCGTATGCATGAAGCCACTTAAGTTAAGATTTGTTCCAAACGGACGGGTTTTTCTACATGTCCTACGATAAATTAGCATTACGATTGGATATCTTAACTTAAGTAGCTTTATGCATATGGGCCATGTTATCTGACCTTAAAGGTCTGTAAAGTACGCGACACATCTTCTTAAGTTTTTCCCAATTTCCACATTTTACGAAATTTTTTTCTGTTCTGACTAGCTATAACAAGTAAAAATTAAGGTCTCTTATATATTTTTCAAATTGGTTTGGTAATATTTTTTTTAATGAAAATAAAAAGAAGACAAAAAGAGATTTTAAGAAAAGTGACCAGAAATATATATATATAAAGCAAAGTGTAAAAATTTCATTTCTGTCTCAATCTTTAGTTAAATTTCTAAAACTAGTCCTCTTGTTTCTGTCTTTATATGTTTCAAATTTTAACTGTTGTAGTGGAAAATTATCCTTTTTTAAAGGAAAAATATATATGTCAAATTAATGTGTATTAAACACCAAAGCCTTAAGTTAGAAACTTTCTAATAAGGATTAAATTACACAATTTTTAATTTAATTTGTGCCAAAATGTAACCTTGCTTAAAATAAAAATTTATTCGCATGAAAAAAAAAGGATTCAGTTCTGAGGCTAGTTCATACATTTCAATCTATATATCTGTATGACAGTTTTAGTATCTGTTTGCTTAGGACACTTAACAATGAAATTAGCATGTATTGCTATTATAAAAAAAACTGACTATCATTTACGTTATGCGTCACGAAAAGCTCGAGACTTTAGGCGCCAACTATTATTTATTCTAGTTTCTCGTGTTGTGTTTTGGATAGGGGTAGACATTTTGCCTTGTAACAGGTCCCCTATGGACCCCCTCTAAAGGGATATTTTTAAGTGAGCTTGGTGCTGGTCCTACACGAGGCACGTTATTTAACGTCCAATTCGAATCGAGCGTGACCTTGTATTTATACTTCCAACGCACCCAAATTGAGATCCCAACTTTAAAAGCTAGGACTATACTGACAGACGGGAGAAGTCTAGTAATGACGATATTGATCCCAGTCAACCCTTGGAGTCTTCAGAATTTAGACCTAGTCAAAGTATATTTCTGTTACCTTATGAAAAACGAAAGAAAACATGTTTTAATAGTGTTTTATCATTTAGTTACAAGTACAAAATGTATCACCTTGTATACATTTGTACAAAATTTCTATTACTTCTTGAAGTTAAGTATGCCACTGTTTTATTTTCGTGATGGTCAGCAGAACGGGGATATATTGTATCGCACATAGTGACAATCGATTTTTTTTTTCAGTCAGTTTGAAGTGCAAATGATAGTTCACACTTGCGTTATCAAACGTAGATTATTTATTTAACAGATAATTTATTTTGAGTTTCTGTGATATGTTAGAATATGTGTTTTAATGGGCTTTGATCAAAAAGTCAAAAAGTCTCAATAAATTCTAAAAAATCAAGTCATCAGTTTTTATACATTTTTGTTGTGGTGATTTATGGGTATGCATATTTTTTTTCAAATTTGCTTTATAAAAGCTTAAATTTGCAGATTTCAAAATCATTTGAAAATTTGTATATTTCAATTTATTAATTTTGTTTCTATAGGAATACAAATGGAGATGGATTACCTATATGGAAGCAGTATGATCTAGTAACGAGATCATATATTCTCTTAGATGTGAATGTTACAACTCAACAGAATTTATACAAAGACAGAATAAACTTCTGGTTGCAAACAATTCCAAATATACTGAATACAACAAAGACCACAACATCTGCAGGAACTATTTCAACAGCAAGTAGTTCAGACGAAGTTTCAACACAACAAAGCACGCCATCATTGAAACCAACCACCAAAAAACCAGGCAATAGTGGTCAAAGTTGTATCCCGCAAATGTTCTATATAGTTATTGCCCTTTTTTCTGCTTTTTTAAACTTTAGAATGGAATAATAAGAACGCTTAATTTTGTTTACATATTTTACGATTTTAATATAAAATTTCAAAATACTCAACAAAAAAAAACAAGGTTATCATTTTCATACTAAACTGTATTTTTATGTAGGAATCTTCACCAATCATTGATCATGTCATGTAAATTGGGTCTGATATTTTTCATCTTCTTTTTCTTTTTGTGCCATAAATGAGAGAACATGAGTTCGATCCCAGCTGCTAAAAGATAACATCCAATATTGATAGGCTTACGATAAACACTTTAACTTAAGGTTCCAATGAATCTATATACACTGTCTAGGTTTTTTGATATTTTAATAATTATTTTTGACACTGGAATAAAGATCACAACATCTCATTGTAGGCATGAGTATAACACTCATGGTCAATATTCTGTTTACCTGTATTGTAATATTTTGCATATTTCAAGGTGTAATTAGTATGCACTTTAGAGATTGATAATGGTATTTCATATTTTAATGTAATTAAGACATTACCTACCCATATATGCCATGGCATAGCAGTTTCACCACTTTTCCCCCTAGTTAAGGCCCTTTGTTTGGATCATCCTTTCCCATGTAGACGTTAAATCGGTGACAGTATCCGGAAGTAGAATCAGATCGCATCCAAACTTTCATGCCTCGTTTGATTGGGTTTCCTGACAAAAAAATCATGGAATGTCATTTCACATTTTCTATTTAGGTTTTTATTTCAGGTCTATCGAGAAAATATATATTTGTTTTTATGAATTTTCTAATGTTGAGAGACCTAATTCAAAATATGATTTTTTGCAGATGTTTCAAATGAAGAAGGTAATAGTCATCTTAGAATAATGGTCAATTGTTCATTTATATTACACATAACAAAAAAATCGAATGACAAAATATTTACAAGTTAAAGAGAATCGAAAGATACCAAAGGGATATTCAAACTCATAAGTCGAAATTGCAGTAATAAAAAGCAACCAGATTAAAAGACATTCAGAAAACCAAAATAAAAGAAAAATAAGGATTGTATTTAAGTGTGTACAAATAAAAAATGACCTGGCATGTACTGTTTAATTGAAAATCTTCCCTTGTATTTCACCATTACTTCATCCACTGTTTGATTCTGTTTTGGTTTGTAATGGTCTTTGAATGTATGATCTACTATATCAATGATTGGTCTAACTTTATGCAATTTGTCAAAACCTTCACTGTCTCTTGGTACAGTTGTCTGATTGTTGTTGACATGTATATACTGGTAGAGTTTCGAGAATCTGTTTTCTGTCATCACACTCCTTATACCAGTGTTTCTTATGAAGGGATCTGAACTCCAGTACAGTCTGTATGATGTCAACTGCATCACCCCCATCATGATGTTGATTCCAATGAGGACCTTGATTTCATCAGTAGTAACCCGTGAAATTAAAATTAACAGTTAATTG